CAGAATTATAGTCTCAGACACTTACTCTGCCATCATCAGATCCACATTTGTCAGAAAGCCCTTCATGTCTAGTGTCAGAGATGACAATCCTAGGGAAGCATGGCGATATAAACAAGACTTGTCCTATCATGATATAAATAAAATAAAGTAAAAGGTCAGTTCTTCAATGAACTTCCTTCCAAAGTCATAACTTCACTAGAAAGAGACAAAAAGATAGCAACATATTATTAAAAAGCCTTCCTGGAAGCCTATCTAAGGAAAGGCAATTCTATTACATCATATTTCCATATACTAGTAAAACCTGGCACTCACTACCAAAATAAACAAGAGTGAACATTGAGAGCTCAGCTTTTGGATGGCCCCATTTCCATTTGAAGCCATCCTTGACTTTGAAGATTTTATCTATCTATCATCTATCTATCTTTCTATCTATCTATCAAGAGAGAGCATGAAGGAGTATGAGTGGCGGGAGGAGTAGAGGGAGAGGGACAAGCTGACTCCGCACTGAATATGGAGACTGATGCTGGGCTCCATCCCATGACCCTTAGATCATGACCTGAGCCAAAACCAAGAGTTGGACACTTAATGAACTGAGCCACCCAGGCGCCCCATGGTGCCACCCCTGATTCTGGATTAAGCTAAGTGAAACCAGAGACTAAAGCGGGGAGTTGGGCCCCCAATCTATGGAGGTAGAGGCAAGAATAGAAATCAAATAAGAAGCAAATCTCTGTCTTCCCCTATAGGGAAGCTTCTGCTCAGAACCTAAGGGTTCAGTCTGGGTACTACCATTTGCTACACAATAAGAAAGAATGCCACAGGCTGGTGTACATGCCATGCAGATTCTAAGAAATTGCATTTTATATGTTTTTTTTTAAATAATGAGGAATAGGACCCTTACCCCCAAGTATGAGTGTCAGTTGGTAGAAGTAAGTATGTGTCCATACACAGTAAAAACGCCAGAAGAGGAAGTGGAAAACCTTAGAGCTGCTTAGACCAAGAACAATAATCACACAGACAGTTTTGAGTTCTCCACCTTCTATGGAAACAGCCATTTTTTATGAAATGCTATCTAAGTTTTAGGCATAAGCATTATGATAGTAATTCAGTGTTACTCTGAAGGATGTCCTAGATTCAGTTGCTACACATGACTGTTTTAAATGGATCCCTTAAACATGATTGCTAAAGTGTGGTCTTTGGCAAAGGATGCCTCATGCATTCCTTAAATAAAGACCTGCAGATCTCTCCTCTCAGAGATATCAACCATTTAATTCACTATAGGAGCCTGAAAGAGTGAAGAAAAATTCTATAAACATAGTAAAGATCTTCCTTAACATATTCAGCCAATTTTAATCACCAGTTGTCTTGCAATATTTTTCACCTGTTTCCTTCAAGGGCTAAAAATGTCTTATATTTTACATATCTTAGTATCATTGCCTGTCACACAGATACACAAATTGTTGTTTAAAAGCTGCAGTGCTTAAATTGAAATAAAACTTATGCTTACAGTGGTAAATATTCCTGGATTAACAGAGTTGTAGCAGATATACACCAAAATTTAACTGAAGTCCGTGATATTAAAAAGACAGAAAATTTATCTAGTTTTAGCAAATGTCAAATCAGCAGCTATTGCTTTTAAGATTAATAAAACATATAATGGTTTCTAGATAGCCTCTAAATAGAGATTACTATGAATGGAGAAGTGATTTACCAACAGTCACCACAATGAGATTTCTTTAAAGGTTACAATCATCAGTTATTTAGCTGAAACACTGCTGAGAATACCTGGTCATTTCTTGAATAATGCATAATGTTCATTGTAGATTTGATCTGTATTATAACAATACAGATATTTCTAAAATAATGGAAAAAACTATCTGTTACCTTCCAATTGCTTAACATATCATTTCCATGAAGTAATTGGCTCAGGACACATTATACACTGTCACCTGAGTGTTCTTTCTGCAAGCATAACTTGTAATAATCTATACACAATGGGCATCACAAAACAAACTCATCAACCTTTATAGACTTTTAAGAAAAGATGTGATGAATACGGGGCAGAGTGAAGGACCTTTCTGAAGCAGTAAATTAAAATGATTAAGTTTCTATATAGTTGTGTGGGACAAATTTAAATTCAAGCTTTGAAATTTAATTATTAACATGAACAACTCATCACATTAAAAAAAAAAACATTGCCTACATGGTGTAAATACTTTTCATATAAATTTCCAAATGCCTTTAGGTTTACTCAAGAGACTGCTTGGAGAAGCACAAAGTATAATGTCTACCGTTTTATTGTTGGATTATGAACTGCACTTCACATGACGCTGCAGGCTATTTATATAAGCTTGTTTATCCACATGAACTTCTTCAAGGGCACAACATAGAAGACCTTAATAAATTAAAATGAATTTCTTTTGATGTTGTTTCATGAATGTTTGATCAGAATGAGTAACAGGTTTGCATTAAAGAATGGGAGTAGAGCAATAAAAAATACATATATTGTACAGCAAAACCAGCTTACAGAAAGTGCCCATTGCATCCTAGCAAGTTGAGAGAGCCAGTGTAAACTGGATAGAGTCACTATGCTTACACCTTCACTATCATTTGTTTTTAGTAGCGGAAGTACACGCGTACCAAATTGGATGCTCTGCTATTATCTGCGTGGAATTTTCAAAGTAATCAAATCTGTTATCTCCCTCTAGCCTCCTAAATACCCATTTCGACCTTCCCATTTCCCTCACTGACATCATCATATCCTTCCATAGCCTGAAATGGCCATGACAGCAGAGACCATATTTTATCTTTTTAATCCATCTTTATCATAAGTAGTTACAGAGTTTCACTGATTGAAGTCCACAAAGTAAAAATAAATTATCTTTTGTAGCCAAAAGCTTAAAGAATTCTGACCTATAATATTCAATAAAGGGGATGCAAATCAAATACCACTTCTAGAATCAATATGATGTGATAGAGCACTAGACAGAAAGGCAAGACAATGGATTCTAGTTTTAAATTTGCTAATACTTCACTCTAAATGTTGTTTCTAGATCATTTCCCTCATCTGTAAGTGGGGTTCTGCAGGAGCTAGAATTTTGCATCACTAAAAGGTCATGGTTCTAAAAGCAGGGTTATCACCAAGGCAGCCTATCAACTGCCAACTCCTTTAAATTAAAAAATGGAAATAAAAGATAACTGTGCTAAACAGCTTAAGACAAATCCAGTCCCTCCACCAATTGCATTTCAAAGTGAAGCCTAAGAATGTATTTTGCACAGTCTGTGGCTTTTGACCTATTACACCTACCCTTATCATCTTGTATGATTCAGAATAAACATGATGACAGTCTACTGAATACATTCTTATGGATATGACATGCTTATTAGATTATATTCACATCTTTAGTTTGGGAAAATCTGCTACAACTTTAGCATCTGGAACATCGATTGGTACATTACTAAGTTGACATCTACATTTTTACAGGAAGATGGGTTGTGAAAGGACTGCATGAGTGTGTCTTGGTTTATTGGGACTCTGCTACCATATACTGACATCCTGCCCTTCTTCTCAACTTCTCAGTGTCATTCTTCTACTCTAGATCAACAATCTGTGAACTATGGCTTTTGGGCCAAATTTGGTGGCAGCTGCCTATTAAGTTTCATTAGAACACAGCCACACCCTGTTGTTTACATATTGTCTATGGCTGATTTCATGCTACAATGGAAGGGTTGAGAGTCTCTCCAAGCCTAATATATTTCCTGTATTGCCCATTACAGAAGAATGTTTGGCCTGCTCTAAAGAGAAATAACCTATTACAATTTAAATTCTAATTTTCCTTCTCCCATAAGCATAAGAAATACAGTTTGTAAGTACCGAGGTAGAGATATGAATGGATTCACACATGCATGCGTCTGTGTGCATATACATGTTTATATATACACATGTGTATATATATATGAATATATACACACATATGTAATCACATCTCTTAGCACACAATTGTAAATAGTGACTGCTTTTAATCCTTAATTTTAATTTGAATCCTCTAGGAGGTTACAGCTTCCCACTAGAACCCTTTACTACAACAGCCAGGAATACAGAGACTTCAAAGGTAGTCGTTAAGCTATAATCTCTTAATTTAAAGAACCTAGTTCCTCCCCCAGAGTTGCCTACAATTTTGCCAAATGTCCAAGTTTATGCCCACCAAGGGTCTAGATACAAGGTCAGAGCACAAGAAACTAGCGGATCTCTTAAGTCCAATGCCGTGAATAACACGCCTTTAAAGATAGAAAATCAATGGCCAACACCACATATACACCAATAAACATATGCACGCATATTCATATGCTAAGCATGCTATAAATTACTAGAAGTTTCACTAACACAAAAGAAAATACCTCTCTTACATATCAGAGTGAAGAAGACCTAAAATTTTTAATAAGTTTTAAGAGTGACTGCATCAAGGATTTGAAGGACAAATAAATGTTTATATTTAAACAATTTTTAGACAATATGTATTGAGACTTGAAACATTGATATGTGAATTGTTTTTAGTCAATAAAATCATTACTCAAAATGCCTTCTACAGTTGGACTCAGCTCCCTTCCTCTCTTTGGTTACTAAAGACAGAAAATATTAGTTCTACCCTTTAACAAATATGCTTATACTCCACCCATCAACAATAACTTGCATGTATTAGCATAGCACAAATTAAACCCGAGAAGCACTTTAATGTAAGTCATCTCGTTCTCATTTCTCTGAAAGCTTATATAAAGTGGTAGAATATTTAGGCTGACAGACTTTTGGTAAATAAAAAAGAAATAGAAGAGGTTTATTTCACCTTCACATGGTGTCTTTCTCATGTAGAGTTCAGATTTCCACATTTGTATCCCTTTAAAGGATTTGATATGCAGGAAAAGAAGAAAGGATGATAGTAAACATTTTATCTTAGAGACACCTACAGACCACCATATTCCAGAATAAGCAGGGGCTTAAAACTTACCTTTTACTGATGTGTTAGGTGGAGGGCCTTCCATTCGCAAGTTCCATGGAGGGTCCCCTTGGTTAGCAAAGTCCCTCATTTTCAGATAGCTAATTGTAAGTCGAATGATGGATGCCTTGTCAAGCTGGCTAGTGATGGCTGCAGGAAGAGGCAACAACTTGGCCAATTCATAGAACTCAAAATTTTCTTTTCCCCGGCGGGAGCGAGCAGCATCTCGGGATTTCTCCTTTCTCAATGCTTGTAAACTGCAATCAACGGAGTGAAAAAGTGTTCTTTAGAACAGGTGCTTCTGACCATCAGATAGAAATTGTGTTCTTTTTGTTTCCTTTTTTCCCCAGCAAAAATCTACCAAAGTCTTTCAAATTCTAGTACCATAGTAAAATGAATTCTAGACAATGAACACTAAAACCACAAATTCTACCCCCGGACTTACACTCTATAAACTTACTTGCAATGAATAAAAACAGTTTGCTTATTAGGTTTTTTCCTCTATTTGGCCATGTGTTATGTGTTCTTTGTTTCTAAGTCCTAAAATTTACAGGTAATGCTTGCTGTTATCAGCTATAAGCAACTGAAGGGATGAGACTAGTATTCATGTATCTATTCTTAGGCTAATGATTTTGTTCATTTAACTGTTATCACTATGGGATCTTAAGCCATCAAAAGCACTCATTTTTTAAAATGTACTTCAAACGGCATCTTGGGGAACAAAGGGTAAACATCAATATTTTATTTGTTGGTTCTGTGAAGGGTGTTTATTGTGCTTCCAGCCCTCAATAAGTATCATACCTTAAGTCAGATAGAGAAAACATCCCACTGAAAATGAAGATTTACATGTAACTTTATAAATGTGCTGGTAATTGGTCGATAAGAGATAACGTCAATTCTTTATGAATGAATATACATTAGTAGATGGATAGATTCTTTAAGATACTAGAGAATAAAATACATTACCCAGAAAAGTCAAACTTGAAGATAATATAAATTTAATGTTGAAAGATAAAGCCCCGTATGGGTTATTAAAATTTATAAACATTATAGACATATTACTTCACAGAAGATTCAACAGGTGGGATCCAGCATTTTCCTTTTACTATTCATGTGCATTTCTGTTTGAAGTTTGCCCACATTGCTGAGGGCAGAATTGGCACAACTGAAGTTGCGTTTGAGCCTCTGACAGAAGTCCACCGATTCTGAATTGCTCTGTTTTATGTCTGACAAGAAATGAAACTGAAATCAGACCCTGATGATAAGTAATTGGGCAATATTTACAGTATCAAGGTACTATTAAAATCACTTGTAAGTGGCAATTTTATGGAACTCTAAAGGTGTTTTAAAATCTTTGAATCTAGCTTTCTAGTTTCCTATTATAAAATAACAAGAAAGAAAGAAACAAGCAAGGAAGGCAGACTGGAGCAATGGATCAAAATGGAAGACTCCTAACTCTGGGAAACGAACTAGGGGTGGTGGAAGGGGAGGAGGGCGGGGGTTGGGGGTGACTGGGTGACAGGCACTGAGGGGGGCACTTCACGGGATGAGCACTGGGTGTTATTCTGTATGTTGGCAAATTGAACACCAATAAAAAATAAATTTATTATTAAAAAAAACAAAACAAAATGAGTTCGGGAATGTGGATCCGATTTCTACTAGTACAATACAGACAATAACACTTCGTATTACATTATAGCATACCGGATGTTTTTCATGGTAGAAACACTGTATTCACTATAGACATTTAGAATATCTGAGGATCTACAAAATTTAAGTAATGCCATCACACTCTGGTCAAATAAATACTTGCTAAGCCAATATCCCAACCAGTTTCACTCTATTAATAAAATATTCTACATTAGTTAACTAACCAATTTCTCAGTACTAGACCAGTTAACATCATTTTCAGCATCATAGCTATCTCAGATGACAAACCTTTGTCTCTTGAGGTCTCAAGTGATAACCTCAGGCAGAAACATCACTAATTCACAAGGAGAAAGCATGGTAATGCCATTTATTTCCCCCAAATCATAGCTGGCCTTCATGCAATTTTATAAATAGTAAACTCTGTCTTGTTGAAAATTATGGGGCAGCCCGGGTGGCTCAGGGGTTTAGCGCCGCCTTCAGCCCAGTGCCTGATCTTGGAGTCCCAGGATCGAGTCCAATGTCAGGCTCCTTGCATGGAGCCTGCTTCTCCCTCTGCCTGTGTCTCTGCATCTCTCATTCTCTCTTTCTCTCTTTCTCTCTCCCTCCCTCCCTCCCTCCCTCTGTGTCTCTCCTGAATAAATAAAAAATCTTTTAAAAAAAGAAAATTAGTAAATAAAGTGAGAGATGCCTTAAAATCTGATAAAGTTTAAGTATAACCAGGATCTAGGTCATCATCTTAGGACAAAAGAACCATTTCTATTGCTCCCTTTATATAATAAAGGTAATATATCTAATATCACTTAGGTCAGCTGTGCCAAAAGAACTATGTCTTTTGACATGTTTTATCTACCTCTTGTAGAGTTCAGTGGTACAAGTTCAGTGCTTTGCTCTTTTTGTGTTCTTTTAATCAAAGAGTACTCCAGAAGGTGGGCTAAACTTAGAATTTTTGTTGTTGTTCAGTAAGTGACTATGATGGAGCTCTTGGAGCTCAGAGGTTATAAACTCAAGGGCTCCCTGGGTTAAGGCAGGGAATGTCAATGAGTGAAGAGGCCTGATGGTCTCTGTGGGGACCTGGAGGACAACAGCTCAGGCAAAGGGACAAAATGCACAGTTTCAGGTGACTGCTGTTCTAGAGGAAGGCACACCTGGTGTTGGGAGTTTTCCAGTGCTGCTATTTCTAGAGAACAAAATCTGAATTTTTACATGGTATTTCCAATTTTATGTTATGTTTTAATTTTACATTAACTGATTAAACTTTAAAAAAATAATGCAAGCCTAATAAAATATGCCATTGGTCAATAAACAAGCAGGGATGTATTTCATAATTAGGTAAGAATTTATGAGAGGCCAATTCTGACGGTAGTCTTACATGGATGTTATATGGAACTTTCTCTTTATATATGTCACTCAAAGAATCTCAAATGGGCTCATTTGTCATCTAATTAATATTACTAATACTCATACTAGGAATTTCTCTGTTCAACTGAAGCAAGTAGATGATTAGGTCATTCTTCTGAAATTGTTATTAATACATAGGCTTATCAATAATTTAAGGGAAAAATAAACCAATTCTATAGGGGAGGAGGTAAGCAAAGCTCAAGATCACAGGGATAAGTTCAAGGAGCTCCAAAAGCTGCATAGAGGAGAAAGGGCTTCCTATTTCCACTCCAGGAAGAAGAACACATGGACATTAATGTCTTTGGATGCCTTGTCCAATCAATGTTCTCTGATACTTGAGTTATCTAAAATATCACTGGGCAGAATTTACTTCATGTGCTCCTGAATCATCTTTCTTGTTTTTCTTCTCTCCATCAGTACACTTTTTTAAAAAATCTCTAACACTCTGTGTTACCCTGCTGGAGTAATTGCCTTGGCCATAATCTTAATAACAAGGGTTTCTATGACTTCCAGATCACAGCATTATACAGACATCACAGTTCAGAAGACTTTCAGAATGACAGTACTATGTTTATAATAAATAGTAATTGGTTTTGAGGGCAATATCAATAAAATTCAATCAAAGAATTATAAAGGTTATAGAATGCTGCTAGAATAGATTAAGCCAAAGACCTTAAGGTAACAACACAGATTGTGGATTAATCTTATACCTGCTTTTGTGAAGTAGAGCAGTTATAAGTAATTCTCAAATTGAATTAAGGACTACATGAAGACTTAAACTGTGTATTTGTAAATTCTGTTCTAAACCAAAAATTATCATTGTACTTCTGGAATTCCAAAGAAGGAATGGAATGGTTGTATGTGAATAAAATGTAAGGTAGTGGAGTGCCTGGGTGGTTCAGTTGGTTAAGTGCCTGACTCGTGGTTTGGGCTCAGATCATGATCTCATCAGGCTTGTGAGATGAAGCCCTGGGTCCTGCTTGTACTCAGCAAGGAGTCTGCTTAAGATTCTGTTTCTCCCTCTGCCACTCTCCCATTTGTGCACAAGCATTTCTCTCTTAAATAAATAAATAAATAAATAAATAAATAAATAAATAAATAAATAATAATGAAAATGAAATGTTTAAATGTTATGGTGCTAATCTCTGCCATATAAAAAATGATTAAACTTCAGATTGGCAGTAAGTTACTCTCTGAGTCCAAACTTCCCACTGCTCTCACGTTCTCTCATGTAGTCCTTGGATAACTAGAAAAAGAGACTCTTCCTTAATCCTCAGCAAATCAAAAATTCAACTCTCTTTGATGACGATATCATCATCCTCACCAGTAATTACCAACAACAACCAAACAACAAAATCAACAATTTCCAAAGATATACACAAAACACACATAAATACATATATCTACACATACACACAAATGTATTTTTAATTGACTTGCTTGTAAATAAATTTAGAAGTCATATACAAAATTGTGTCTATATTTTGGGAAGATAGTAAATGATTTTCAGAATCTCCAAATGGCTTCTTCACAACCAAAAGGGCAATGATCTATTATCTAGAATTTCCTCTTATAAAACTTAAAAGTTGAATCCCCTACTCTTTTTGTCAGTGATGTTGCCATAATTAACTTTCCTTAACAACCATCCCTGGTTAAAATAATATTAATGTAGATTTCTGTTTAACACTTGGCAACAGGGGCTCCTGGGTGGCTCAGTAGCTGACCATCTGCCTTTGGTTCAGGTCATGACCCCGGGGTCCTGGGATGGAGTCCTGCATTGTGCTCCCCACAGGGAACCTGCTTCCTCCTCTGCCTATGTCTGCCTCTCTCTGTGTGTCTCTCATGAATACATAAAGAAAATCTTTTTAAAAATGGCAACAAATTTTATATGTTTTTGAAGTTATACCTTTAACTATAGATAATAAGCAATAAAAAATTACTAGTAATGAAGAGTTAGGGGACAGCACTTATGGAATGTAATTCTTTTAATACTCTCATATATTTTAAGTTCCTTGATAAGTTATGTGTTTTGTGGAAAGAGTCCTGATGAAGGAATTACAAGACCCATCCTGGCCATTCATAGGCATTGTGATTTTAAGTAACAAAGTTGAGCCTCAATTTTATCATTTTACAACATGAGGATTACAAACCAATCTCCTGGGACCACTGCAATGGCTCATATGATAGTTTCCAAGGTAGTATATGGTAA